CTAGCTCCTTCCCGCAAAACGAAGCCTGCTTGGATAACAGCGGGGAGAGGTCAGGGGCGTCCTGCAGCGGCGACAGTGATCCAAACAATGGGGCGTCTGCTTCCAAAGACTCCGCCCACTGCTCTGGAGCCCTGCAGAGTCTTGTTGCCGAGCTGAAGGCAGAGCTGAGCAAACAAAGGATTGCGTATGACTCCAGTATCAAAAGGTAAGCGTTCCAGAAGGCAGGCAAATAAATGCCTGAGAGTCGAGACAAGTGGCTCTGAATGGTTGTTGTTGTTTTCAGCTGGAACTCACCGGAACTAAGTTCCGGCACCTCTCAGGTGGACACCATTGCCATTATACGAGAACAAAGGTGGTGTTCATGGTGAGTTCCGGCACCCTTTTTTTCTAGAAAAACAGCACTTGCTTTCCCTTCCATGTTGACTTCAGCTTACCCACTCAGTTATCTGAGAAATCAGAAGTTTACCAGGGCTTTTTTTTGAGCCAGAACTCACTGGAACTGAGTTCCAGCACCTCTCAAGTGGGTTCCATTGCCATTGTAAGATAATAAGGTGAGTTTCAGCATCTCTTTTTCTAGAAAAATAGCACTGGTTTAGGCCATTTAGAGGGACGCGGGTGGTGCTGTGGGTTAAACCACAGAGCCTAGGACTTGCCGATCAGAAGATCGGCGGTTCGAATCCCTGCAACGGGGTGAGCTCCCGTTGCTCGGTCCCTGCTCCTGTCAACCTAGCAGTTCGAAAGCACGTCAAAGTGCAAGTAGATAAATAGGTACCACTCCTGTGAGAAGGTAAACGGTGTTTCCGTGCGCTGCTCTGGTTCGCCAGAAGGGGCTTAGTTATGCTAGCCACATGACCCAGAAGCTGTACGCCAGCTCCCTTGGCCAATAAAGCAAGATGAGAGTCGCAACCCAGAGTCGGTCACGGCTGGACCTAATGGTCAGGGGTCCCTTTACCTATCATGCTCATGCCAGGGATAAAGACAAAGGACAAGAGCTTTTGATTTTTGCCAAGATTTACTTGGATCTGGGGTTTCCCCTCCTGCTTTGGAGATGTTGTCTTTTTGGAAGGCTCTGATGTGCTTACAATTGCACACATACCCCCCCCCCAAAAAAAACCATGGCTTCAGAGAGCTTAAGCTGCAATGTCCATGCTGATGTGGGAATATGTTTGACGTCAGCTTGCACTCAGGGTGCTTCATGATGAAGTAATTTCACTTCCTCTATATCTTGTAGTGCATGGCTGCACAAAGAGAGATACAGAAAAAGTATTGGTGCCATGTAGATTTGATTTAGCATTTTGGAGATACACTTAATAAAAGGTTGAATGGTGTTTCTGCACAGGGATGGGCGTGGATACCCTGGGGGTCTTCCCAAAGGTATTTTGTTTCCCCACCACTTCAACAGGCAAATCCTACATTTTTAGAGTTACAAAATAGGTAAGGTGAGCAGTCTCCTTATATAGATTTATGTGCAACTGAAAAGTTTACATACACAAACTGAGGGCTGCTCCTGCCGTACATCAAGGGCTGGATCTAGAGATATTTAAAAACACTGTAAAAAATACAGCTCCCAATGGAAATTTTCATTGACTTGGGATTGCTGCTCTACAGCACCATCTGGTGTCACATTTTTGAAATGTATTTATTGTTGTTGTTTAGTCATTTAGTCGTGTCCGACTCTTTGTGACCCCATGGACCAGAGCACGCCAGGCCCTCCTGTCTTCCACTGCCTCCTGCAGTTTGGTCAAACTCATGCTGGTAGCTTCAAGAACACTATCCAACCATCTCATCCTCTGTCGTCCCCTTGCCCTTCTGCCCTCCATCTTTCCCAGCATCAGGGTCTTTTCCAGGGAGTCTTCTCTTCTCATGAGGTGGCCAAAGTATTGGAGCCTCAGCTTCACGATCTGTCCTTCCAGTGAGCACTCAGGGCTGATTGCCTTCAGAATGGATAGGTTTGATCTTCTTGCAGTCCATGGGACTCTCAAGAGTCTCCTCCAGCACCATCACATAAATTGAACTGTGTAGCTGAGTCCATAGTGATATGACATGCTTCCAATGGCACCATGTGAGGGAGATAGATGAAGGCAGGTATTGGTGTCTGAATGGTGCGGACTTTTTAAAACTGTTGTCCCTGTGTGCTGTATTTGGGCTCTACTTTAGAAAGAAAAATGTCCTGCGCTAGTACAGTACAAAACAAAGTTGGCTGGCTGTGTCACTATGGGGACATGACTTTCCCAGGCTTTCTATGGCATGTCGTCACATCACAGATAAACATGTGGCAGCATTTGTTAACTTGTTCATGCTCTCTCTTGGCTTTAAGGATTGAAGAAGCAAACACGGAACTGAGGAAGAGGGTGGCAAGATTAGAAGAAGAGCTCGATAAAGAAAAGAAGAAATACACAATGCTGGCGATCAAGTTGCGGAACTCAGAGAGGGCTCGGAATGATGCAGACAAGAGGAACCACCTCCTGCAAGAAGAGATGGAAGATTTCTTCAAAACTCTGGGGGATTTGACTGCAGAAAGCCAGATGGCCAGCACCCCAAAATAAAGAGAAGCCGCCAGCCAGATTCCTCCTGCCCTGCTCCCCACTTCAAAATGGCATGGATCAATTTTGCCCGTTTGCTTGCAGTGGTGTGGGAAAACTTTTGCTAAATTACTGGCTTACAAACATTACAAAATGCCAGAGAAGTTGTTAACAGCTGAAGATAAATGATAGATTGGCAAGGAAGAAGCTGAACCTCTTATCTGGAAAGCAAGGGGGGTTGTTATCAATTTTGGCAGTTTCTTTTCGATGGCCCAGGGCAAGTGTGATCCTGTGCATGGTTGCAAAGTGCTTGAACTCTGCTGAAGAAATGCACTGCCTTCTCCTGCGCGGGAGCACAAAGTTCGGTTTGCAACGTTTAACTGATCTGCTAAATTAAAACGAACCTGCATAGTCAACATTTCTATCCTATGCATAACTGCTTGCTTGCATAATCAATACTGCCAGCTTACGGTGTCAACAGCAACTGATTATTATGAATTAAATTTGAATGCCGCCCTTCCTTTGAAGCTCCAGGGGCGGTTCACAGCATAAAAACATAAAATACCAACACAAAATGCACAATAAAAGAAAGATCATATGCAAACCAAATCAATACTCCTCCCCCCCCCAAAAAAACCCCACATTTTAAAAGCCATAGAATGTTAAACCAGCTAATGGCCTGGTTAAAAAGGAACATTTTTGCCTGGTACCTAAAGATGTACAATGAAGGCTCCAGGTGAGTCTCCTCAAGAGCATTCCACAAGCAGGGTGTGAGCAAGGAATCCCCCAGGACTCCGGCATCTCTCAGACTGCGTTATTTTATGGAGCTCCATTCACCAGAAGGGACAACCCTGCTACTGGTTCACTTTCTTTCAATTCTCTTCAACCTCCAACGGAAGTCTAGGATATGTTCTATGATGCCCCTTCCAAACAAGCTATGTTTTAGGAGGACCTCTGTTGAAAGGTGTTTTGGAGTTTGACCCACAATACCCAGCTGCCCAAAAGCCACGCGAATCTCCTCCTCTGATGTGGTTTTGCACAACATGTGGCTTATTATAATTTTTATAAGTAGCCCTACTTTCTGCCTCTACTACTTCTGTTTGACATAGTGGGGAAGGGCTGTGGTTGTGTTCTCAGATGAGATAGGGTAGGCAACAAGGAGAATGCTGGAGGCCCCGGAAAAATGCAAATTGCCTTCAACCAAACGATGGAATTTGAGGGACCCAGTAGGCAAAACAGCATTTAAACAGTTCAAAAACGTTCACAGGTTTTGCAAAAATGGCATTAAGTTCATTTCAGGGAAACCAGGCAGGTGAGATGCTGGATAATATATATGCGCACAATAAATGCATAAGAAGAAATTGCTTTTCTGGGATCGGGGGAAAGAAAGATAAGAGTGACTGTAATCCACTGCCCAATTTCCAGATGTGGTTAAGCCTCTTGAGAACGTCACAAGCAAGACAGAGCCCATGCACAGTGTTTAGCATCTGAGTGTAATCCTCAGTTAAGGTGTTATTTTTTCCAGCTATAGAAAAGGGAAACTTTCATTCAAGACACCACTCTGCCCCCTCATTCTGTACTGTGGGCTTCAGGTTAAAAAACTGGCTTGGGAATTTTCAAGAGTTGTCAAGCGGGCTCCCAAAAATTAACAAAGAGCACCATTTGCATCATTTTTCAGACCAGCTCCAAGAACTAAAACCAAACTAGATATGATGGCTGCTGTAAACTTTGGTTTCAAGATTTGGGGGCATCAGAATCTCTAATCTGGGCCCATAATGCCATCACTAGGACCATAACAAGATGACACACTTTTACTCATTGCCAGGAGGATGCCATGGTTCAAAATTAAAATAGACAAACATATTTAACATAAGTAGGAGCCTTGTAAATCCCACTACAACTAGAGAGGGTGCCAGTTCTGACCACTTCCCCCCCCCCAACCCTCTAAAGTGTGGTAACATTTCAGCTTAAGCTGGTAAAGCACCGCTATTGTTGCCTGTGGTTTATACATTTATTGCTTTTTCCTGCTAGTCTCTCTAGCTTTGCAGTTTCTGACCCCAAGAAGTGGGGAAGATAAAACGAGAATGCCCTATATGAATCAGTAGCTCTATTTGAATCTATCTGAATTCACCGGGGGGGGGGGTATATAGCTGGTTGAAAGGAGTATTGAATGAGAAGAAAGCCAGAGTCTACAAAGGCACCATTATATTCTGGGATGGAAAGAGGTATGGAATTGCCCTAGCTAGGGTAGTAAGGGGCAGGGTTCGAAAATAAATGCCAGTACATCATCAAAATCTGGACCACATGGCAAAGTTTCCCCATCTCCCCCTACCCACCCGCCAAATCTACTGCCTGCCATTCTGCCACTTTCCAGAATGGCAAACAATGTGAAATCACCCAATCCTGTTTTCTCCCATCCTGCCTGAAAACATTTGCTTTTCTTGCAGCGACTGAAAACAAACACAGACAAAACAAAAATTTGAAAAGAAGTAGCCTCTCTTTAAAAACAAGCAAGCAAGCAAAGAAACAGACTTTCGCTTCCAAAGAACTGGATGGCTAGAACCAAACAGTTTCAGGCAAGATTCAATTCTCTCAGCCTTCATGGTCGTGTCCAACAAGATACTTGTGCTATCGTTTAATATTTGCTTCTGTAGGCAGCACTGATGTACAGTTTTGTTCACATTTAAATCCACTACACAAAATACTTCTATCTACGCAAGGCAGTCAGCACAGCCTAAATTCACAAACATTGCATTTCCTAAGGACAAATTCCCAATGATTGTTTTACTCACACAAAACTTAATCGGTTGCACAAAAAATATCATTCAATAATGTACACTGTAAACAGTTAACATACTTCAGTGAAGAGCAGACCATTTTACATTATATTTAACATTTCTACATAGTTCGTTGTTGATGGTTGGTTGTTGGTTGTTGTTTTTTTTAAGGGAGCACGCCCAAAGTTGGGATCTCTGTGCTGAAATGCTACCCGATTCTCATGGCTTCAGAATGACCCACTGTCAGTTTGGGGAGGTTTTCTATGCCGCTCCAATGACACGGTGAGGCAAAAGAGGAACGCTGTCAGTGCAGCACAATGGACGTTCCTGCAGCATCATCTTATTCAATGCATTCGCTGCAGATCCTGAAGCGACGGGATGCTGTGTAAGGAGATAGTGCTAAATTTGGGGGAAAGAGCGCTTTATAAACTAAGAGATGCACTAGCCTGAATATGCAAGGAAGGTAGAGAAATGAGCACCACAGAACCATATTCAGTGTGGGAAACATGAATTTGCATTGTTAATCTATTTAACTATGGGGCAGGTTAAATTTGCATGGCAAAGGCGGCGTGCTCTATCCTGCTTCTTCATCTTGTTTTGAGTGATTCCTTTGGGCACAAGAAAATGTGACATTGTCAGAGCTTATATAATGTTCCCTATATACCGCAGGAGATGTCTCTGTTCAGGACTGCTATCTCCATGGCTATACCTTAGCCTATAATTAGATAGTTTAACCACTCAAATGGCTAAAAATAAAACATTTAGCTTATGGACTGAAAAAGGGTGTGCAACACACAAAGATACCCTAATAAAATGCTTCCGAAACTCAAGTAAACCTTAAATAAAGCTGTCGTGTAACAAACGGGACAGCAATGTTACATTTAATAATGTAATTTTTAAAAACGAGGTCCACATCACAGTAGTAAAACATATGCGAATTTAAAAACTCATGATAAAAATTATTAATACTGTACAATTTATTACAGGAAAGTATTGTGGCTTACTTTTAAAACGCAACTTAAATTAAAATTAGCACTCTGAAATGAATCCCACAATTACTTTTGAAAACACTCCCCCAAATAATACCACCAGTTTTTGTAACTAAGAGAACCCCTGTCCCCCAGTACGTCAAGTAGTCATCTACAGCAGCCCAGGGGGCCTGCGGAGGCTTCTAGGCTGCTGTCTGTATCGGAGGCCAATGTTGGGTCAGTAGACATTGAAGAGTCGTCATTGGCAGATGACGATGAAGAGGGATGCCGAGAACCATTGATCACTGCTGCACCTGTGCTATGAGAAACAGAACATCAATTCGGTTACAGAGAGACTGGCCTCCTTCACTGGCTCGTTTTCACTCTGACTGGCCATGAATGCAGGCTGGTTAAACTTAAGTCTTGTAGGATTCAGTTTTAGGTTACCCAGGACAGCACATCAGCTAAGTGCAAGCTTAGATCTCATTCCAGGTTAAACGTTTCAGCTTTCAGCTCCATTTAAAACCAGTTAAAAACTAGGATCAACTGGACTTCCGGGTTGACGCGATCTGGAAATGGCGGATTCCCTCCGAGCTCCGGAGGGAATCGGCTCCAATGAGGATGGGTCTTTGCCGCGCCGGCGACGCGGGGACCCTTAAAAACCGCAGGCGCGAAAGCCTGCGGACTGAAGACTCGGCGGGTGCCTCAAGCGCCCCCCCTGATTCGCAAAGAGCCTTTTTAAAGGCTGCGGAGGGGATACGGGGGGTGGCGTGGCACTGAGAGTCGATCGCTACCTCGGTGGAGCGAAGCCGCGAGCCATGACCGGAGAGCGTTGACTTCCTTCCTTGAAAATTTGGACTGAAAGAATTACCCGTGAGTAAGACGGATTGGGACTTTTGAAAAATTTTACCTTTAATTGGAGACGACCGGGGGGTGTGCTAAAAGGAAGTCCGCACCCCCCCCTTGCAGACCATCTAAGCAACGACACAAGAGATAAGCTGGAGAGCCTACCTTTGGTGGGGTGAGTTAAAAAGGACACTAACTTTCAAGATTTTACTAAAGGAAAATTTTGTGCAGGAGAGTGGAGTTTTGGAAACCTTCCTTCTGTTTTAAACAACCCCCCCTCCCGGGCTCGGGAACGTCCTGCCTTCGTGCCTGCGTTAGAGCTGCGGAGTTTGACAGCTGTCAAAGCTGCCAAACGGGCGGTTTAAAGCGAGAAATTGCCATTTAAGATTTTTATGGACTAAGACGAGTTATAATTGAGCTGAAACTGTTGGAAACAAAGTAATAATAATCAGTTTAAGGATTGTTGGTGAAAAGGCAAATAAGTAACCAGATTCCCCCTAGGGGGAACTCTGTGAAACTACAATGGATACAATGGCTGTGGAAGGAAAGTTACTAGTGGAAATCGAAAGGATGTTTCAATTGGTGGGAATCTTACAGGAGCAGAGTTTGGCCATGAACAAACAACTTGAGACTATGACCTTGGGAACAGGCAACTCTGCTCTTTGTATTGAGGACCTCAATGAGAAAGAATCCACAGCTGATTGGGAAACAATATCTACAGAGCTGGAAGAGACTAAACAACAAGAAAAAGAAGAAGTAATCCTGGGAAGTAATAACCAAAAGTTGACATCTGTGGAATACAAGCAAGGAGACGCTGGGAACATATTCACCACAAGTCTGCGAGAGATACAGAAGAAGAAGGAGGAGGCCCCAAGACAAAATGGAGTACAGGAATTTAAAATAAAGAAATATGATTGGGGTCTCCGTTTGGACTTAGACTTGGAAGAGATAGACTTTGTGGAAATACTTCAGCAGCCACCTTTGAATCTTTTTGTTGGAGGAGGACATACTTTGATGGTGAAAGAACTTTTCCCAGATCTGACGACTGCTGTAAAGGACTACCAACAGGACAGGCGGAGAGGAACGGAAATAGATTTGAAAGCCTCGGACGTGAGGAACCCAGGCTGAGAACTTCGAATTTGGATTTTTATTGGGAAGGGACAAAAACCGGGGATGGGAGGGAGGGAAGAAGAGACTCTTAAAAACTCTCAAGACTTTTAGGTTTGGTTAAGATGACTTTTAATTAAGATAAAATGAAAATCGATGGAAGAGAACTTAAGTCCAACTTATGAAAACTAATTTTTATTATAAAAAAAAGGAAATAAGATGAATAAGATTGTTAAGAGGAGAAATATCAACTTGCTGACATGATCTTGAAACTGGGATGCATTGGGGGGGTGGGGGGAAGTCAGGGAACAAGGTTATGAAATGGGGATTTGCTGACTTTATACATGTTTTTGTCTTTGTTTTTTCTTTGTGTATGTTTTGTCTTTATAAAAGCAGAAAACCAAATAAAATTTTTATAAAAAAATAAATAAAAACTAGGATCAACTTTAAAGCAACCCCTCGAGTGTCAGCTTTCAGTGCCGTTTTAAAAAACCAGTCTAAGTTACAACTTAAAGCTAGAGGGCAACTTAGGTTCCAAAACAAAAACCAACCAACCACCCTCAGTTGAAGCTCAAGATTAAGCTTATCGCAAAGTTATTAAGTGCTGTATATGAGCTAAGTGGAAGAGTAAGACTAAATCCAAGTTAAAAGCTCAGCTTTTGGTTAAATTTCAAAATAAGTTAGAAATCAGCTCAATTTTTAAAAGTCCCACAGGGAGTCAACTTCTTACATTCCCAGAGGTCCTTCACTGCCCATATCTTTACCTTAACCCACCTTTGTCAACCCCCAACAAAACAAAACAAAAAATCAATTCACGAGGGGGTGGGCTAAGATGACCCCAAATCTCGTTTCAGATTTCTACTCACTGGAACCGGGTGCAGCCCAATAATTGAGCCGCCACTCCTTGCATTTTTCTAACAAGGCGCTCCTGACCTAACTGGCTGCAGCAACAGCTGGGGGAAGCTAGTCAGGGCTACAAATCGGGGCAACCAAGCCAGGGAGTCCACTTTGTGAGCAAAGAAAAAAAAGGGTGGCCCAGTCGGCAAAGCATCTCAACCTGTGGCAAAGGGTCATGTTAGCTGGCGAGTATGGCAGTAGGAGTGAGGAGGCCAGAGCAGATTACTCCCCTACAAAGCTACTGATGTAAGAAATTCCAAGCTCCACAGTAAATCTACCTAACAAACAGCCAACAGGAACTATAGTTAGAAAGTCAGGAGGGGTCTAGGGGCTACCAATCATATTGTGCAGAATGTTACATGTCTCTCTGCTGGACAGAGGTTGTGGGTGGGTGCTTGGTGCCATGAGCTCCTGGCCCTCAGGGATCAAGCTCGTCCCGTGAGGCCAAGGCAGCTGACCTCAAGAAGCTGAGAGTCAGAGAGGTTGGGGGACAAGGCCTTCAAGGGATATGATAACAGCATCCCACTCCCAGAGTTGCAGGCCTTCCACAGTCACAGAGAAGGAAGGCCCCGGGAGGTGGGAGTTGCTCTGAAGAGAAAAAAGAACCCCTTGGTAGGATGAACAAATATGCCCACAGAGGATACGCCTCTGGAAGTTGGGGGATTCCATCATTAGGGATAAAGGTGAGCTTATGACTGACACATGTGCAGAGTGACTTGCCTGCCTGGTGCAAAGGTTGCAGTTGCCATGTGTTGTCTACGCCAGAAATGGGCTCCAGTAGATCTCTGAGTCGTCTGAAGTAGATCAGCAAGGATGTCTAACTCCCAGTTATTTAAAATGGAAACAAACAAGAAAAAACCTCCCCCAATTATAGGGCTCCAACAAAGAAAGACGGAGTAACCAACAGGGGTCTCCTTCCTGAATTACAAGGCAAACGTGTGATTCAGGTGAGGTCTGCATATGCCCAAATCAGATTACACTGTTAGCTAGGCAATGCAAGTCTGATCAGGGATTTCCTGAAGTCCTCAGTCTCTCTAGGTAAAGGTAAAGGGACCCCTGACCATTAGGTCCAGTCATGACCGATTCTGCGGTTGCGGCACTCATCGTGCTCTATAGGCCGAGGGAGCCGGCGTACAGCTTCCGAGTCATGTGGCCAGCACGACTAAGCCGCTTCTGGCAAACCAGAGCAGCGCACAGAAACACCATTTACCTTCCCGCCGGAGCGGTACCTATTTATCTACTTGCACTTTGACGTGCTTTCGAACTGCTAGGTTGGCAGGAGCAGGGACCAAGCAACGGGAGCTCACCCCATCGCAGGGATTCGAACTGCCGACCTTCTGATCGGCAAGCCCTTGGCTCTGTGGTTTAACCCACAGCGCCACCCCCTCACTCTCTCTGGGGGGGGGGGCAAAAGCTGCTTTTTCAAAGTGACAGGCAGAAAGCGGACTAGCAAAACTCTCTGAGCTCAAGTGGAGAAGCAGCCTTTAATTCAATGAGTTATTTCTCCAGAGTACAGCATTCACAAAGATTTGGGAAAGGGCTGATGGAATAAGTACTGAAAACTGGGTGGAATTCACCAAATGAATCCTGCCAGCAAAAGCCCAGGGCAAGCAAGGGTTTCCACTTGCATAACAGCAATTTCCCCTCCTCAACTGGCTTTGTGGGGGTTGGATAATTCCGTCTGCCAAGCTGATACGCTTGCACTGATGGGATGTTTGTAAGACAAAAATGTTGCATTCCACCTCACGTTCTTAAGGTATGATCTAGCAACAGAGAATTGGGATTAGTGTTTGTATCCCTCAAAGACTTTTTTGAGGTCGGATAGACCCAAACAGGCCCCACAGACCTGAGACAGCTGCACATGGCTATTCACAGTGAAGGAGGCAGGTGTATTTACTGCATGCAGATATTAACAGATCTACACCTGCCACCTTGTTGCAGGGGAAGAAGGTGAATCAGAAGTGCTTGTGCATACACCATCACAGTAATTTGCAGTGGCTTCTAAAATGACTTGGGACGCGGATGGCGCTGTGGGTTAAACCACAGAGCCTAGGACTTGCCGATCAGAAGGTTGGCGGTTCGAATCCCCGCGACGGGGTGAGCTCCCGTTGCTCGGTCCCTGCTCCTGCCAACCTAGCAGTTCGAAAGCACGTCAAAGTGCAAGTAGATAAATAGGTACCGCTCTGGTGGGAAAGGAAACGCGTTTCCGTGTGCTGCTCTGGTTCGCCAGAAGCGGCTTAGTCATGCTGGCCACATGACCCGGAAGCTGTATGCCGGCTCCCTCGGCCAATAAAGCGAGATGAGCGCCGCAACCCCAGAGTCGGCCACGCATGGACCTAACGGTGAGGGGTCACTTTCCCTTTCCTTTTCCTAAAATGACTTACTGTATCATGGCAATAATGGGTAACTGGGTACGTGTGTAAAATGCACATGAGTACTTTAGAGCAAGTTGCCTGGTACAGACAGTTCTTCTCCAAGTAGTGAAGGTGGATGGGAATGCGGAAGGGCTGTCCTCACTTCCTTCTCCATGCTCCAGCACAAACACCTGAAGAGGGCCAAGTGGCAGAAACTAGAGCAACAGCACTTTTATTGTAAACCAACCTAAAGGAGGCGGTTGTCCACATATAACTCCATTCTTGGTTCTCTCCTCCAGGTCCATAACTTCCTTGTAAATCAACTCTGAAAATCACCAGGTATAGTGTTATCCATGCAGTATTTCAAACAACCCAGAGAAACAGACTCCTATATAACAAGTATCACATGTTCTATTGAACATAACTCTGTTGATCAAGCAGAAAGCAGAGAATGTAGTACATTAGGCAAGTCAAACAATGCACCCGTGAAATACAGCCATTCTGCTCCACTTTGCAAAACGCACTGAGCAAACAGCTTAAGGGTTTTCTTGAGGATGAGCACATAAAAAATCATTTTGAAAAGGCCACACCCACCCCGACTCCTCGATATCTGCAGGCAATGTTTGCTTCCTTAAATGCTTCTGGGTCAAATGATTCTTCAACCACAAAACCAGCAAAACTTCAGAACGCTATCAGAAACAGAAAATCTACCCAAGCAAGAGACTTCAAATACACAATGGGTGCCTTTTCCGAGAGTTGCACTGCTAGTATTCTAGAAAGAAAAATATAGAGGCATGGATATTAGTCCTGAAGAGAGGCGGCCATTATAGTGCCTTTACAGATCCCATTTGGATATATCAAAAGCTAGTTAATGGATACTATAACACCCAATTCTTAAAATGTGCAAGGGATTTTAAAAGCAATGCCTTTATCAAATTTCAAGGAGAAGCCCCTTTTATAACTCTTAATTCCCACACATTTTGTTCCAAGTGTCTCTCTGACCTTTGTTCTCTCCTTTTCAGCATGACTCTGAGCCATACAACTAACTGCCTCCCTGGCCATGCAAAGATGATGATACTTACACAGGATCGTATTCTTTCACTCCACTTTAATTAACCTATTCATGATACCCACACTTCATTGTTCTTTTCCAGCTACAAGCAGATTAGATTCCGTACTTCCTCCATAAGAAGGCACTGAAATAATGGATACCAATCTCCTACTGTGAGCACAAAATTATAACTGAACATTAAGTACAGTACTCCTGCAATTCATTGCCCTATTTGTGGGCTTCCCAAAGGCATCTGGTTGGCCAGTGTGGAAAACAGGATGTTGAACTAAATGGACCTTTGGTCTGATCCAGCAGATATAAATAAGCTATACAGTGGTACCTCGGGTTACATTCGCTTCAGGTTACATACTCCGCTAACCCAGAAATAGTGCTTCAGGTTAAGAACTTTGCTTCAGGATGAGAACAGAAATTGTGCTCCGGCGGCGCGGCAGCAGCGGGAGGCCCCATTAGCTAAAGTGGTGCTTCAGGTTAAGAACAGTTTCAGGTTAAGAACGGACCTCCGGAACGAATTAAGTACTTAACCTGAGGTACCACTGTATATTAATAAGCTTGCACAACTTCTACCTGCTCGGTAGTGGCGCCCACCCTGTGAAACGCCCTCCCATCAGATGTCAAGGAAATAAACAACTATCTGACTTTCAGAAGACATCTGAAGGCATCCCTGTTTAGGGAAGTTTTTAATGTTTGAAGTTTTATTCTGTTTTTAGTCATCTGTTGGGAGCCGCCCAGAGTGGCTGGGAAAACCCAGCCAGATGGGCAGGGTATTTATTATTATTATTATTATTATTATTATTATTATTACAGGACTAAAGGCTGAGAAAAAGAAGCACCAACCAACCCAAGTGTTTAGGAACCTGCTGATTTAGAAAATTGTTGGGGGCTGTTATTCCCAACACAGTTTGTGGGGGCAAATGCAGTTCCCACCACACTTTAGCATCTTAAAACAGTGCAGCAAAAGCTTCATTGCTAATAATATTAATACTTAAAGTATTAACCTCACCTTTCCATTCTTCTATTGTGTGCTCTCTTTCATCCAGCTGCTTGTCTGGTATCTTTGGAGGAGGCTGAAAACAAAAATGTGGCAGAAAACTGAATAAAAGGTAGGAAATATAAATTTACACTCTCAATTTCAGAATAATCATGTATTGATCCCAGGATATTAATACCAGACAGGCCCTCAATTTATTAATTATTTTGCATTACACACCAGCCATGAAATTCTCCAAGGACCTATCATTATGTAGAATTTTCCCCCGGCTATGTCACTGGGGGAGGGTATTGTGACAAGGGCCCAATGTTAATCACATGCCTAGAGGTAAAGGTAAAGGGACCCCTGACCATTAGGTCCAGTCGTGGCTGACTCTGGGGTTGCGGCGCTCATCTCGCTTTACTGGCCGAGGCGTACAGCTTCCAGGTCATGTGGCCAGCATGACTAAGCCGCTTCTGGCAAACCAGAGCAGTGCATGGAAACGCCGTTTACCTTCCTGCTGGAGCGGTACCTATTTATCTACTTGCACTTTGACATGCTTTCAAACTGCTAGGTTGGCAGGAGCAGGGACAGAGCAATGGGAGCTCACCCTGTCGCGGGGATTCGAACTGCCGACCTTTTGATCGGCAAATCCTAGGCTCTGTGGTTTAACCCACAGCGCCACCCGCATCCTGATCACATGCATAAACATAGATAATTTAAATGGACCTTTTCCACAAGAAGTGGCATAACTTACACTTGTGCGTCTAAGCTGACCAACACTGCTTTGTAGGAATACTGTAGATGCCCAGCATTCCACTTGCATTTCCCTAGATCGGCGTCTGCAACCCGCGGCTCCGGAGCCGCATGTGGCTCTTTTACACCTTTGCCGCGGCTCTGGGGCGGATACTAGCGAGGGGAGGAGGCGCATTGTGCGCCCTGACACTCCCCACTGTGGCGGGCACTGTACTGGCTGTGACGTCGCATGGGGGCGGTACGTGCGTTAGTCACGCACCGTCCCGACGTCACCTTCCCGCCTGCCCGCTACATTGTAAGGGGCATGTACGCTGGTCACTGCATTGAAAGGGGGCATGTACGCTGGTCACTGTTTTGAAGGGGAGTGAAGAACACACACACAAAAAAAGGTAACTTGTTAATTTAACGGTTATTTCTATGAGGAGGAGTAATTCTGAGGGGTCAAACAAAGAAATAATAAAAAAGTGACAAAAAAGTTATTTTTATAATGACGAGTTTTGCGGCTCCCAATTTTTTTTTCTTCGGAAACGGGTCCAAGTGGCTCTTTTTGTCTTAAAGGTTGCAGACCCCTGCCCTAGATTTTCCCCAGGGCAGGAGGATTCTGAAATTCACTGAGTCCCCTCTATGTTTAGGCTGCTAATCAGCAGTGCTAACTGGTGTGCTAAAATGTCTCCTCAATCCACTTCTGGAAAATAATCCCAATGCTACAATTAGCTGTATGCAGCATAATAAATGCTTAGGAGTTACGAGTGCCAACCTGCCCCATGATGCGTAAGACGTCCATGAGTTGGACATCAGCAAAGTGAAAACGACAATACAAATGAAAATCCTGCCCCCGCAAAAAAATAAAAATAAATGAAGATTCATATAATTACACTTACAGCGTAACTTGGAAACTCTGAACCTTGCACATAATATGTAGGAGTCATAAAAAAAGCATAATAATAATAATCTAGTGTTGAGCCAGATGCTCTTCAAGTTATTTTGAAGGGGGGCCCTGCCAGGGCTTAATCCTACCTTTTTCCTGGATATCTGGCAGCCAAATTTTATCTCCCTTTCACTCTTTTGCAAGCAGTCTTAGCTTCGTGACATGAAACCGCTAAATGGGGTCATCTGGAGTTTTGGAGCAATATCCTAATGAAACACAGCTCTATTTCTCCTTTACATCGGCAGGTGAGGCAGTGGATGCGCTGGCTCGCTGTCTTGCCTTGGCAGTGGACTGCAAGCTGACACTCAGTCCAGTTACGACTGAGGCACTGTTAATGGACAGTTCCCTAGACTGGACAGATGGCGAGTCGCCTGCTCTTGAAGGGGTTACAGTGATCAGGGGTCAGCAAACTTTTTCAGCAGGGGGCCGGTCCACTGTCCCTCAGACTGTGTGGGGCCAGACTATATTTTGGGGGGGAAATGAATGAATTCCTATGCCCCACAAATAACCCAGAAATGCATTTTAAATAAAAGGGCACATTCTACTCATGTAAAAACACGCTGATTCCTGGACCGTCCGTGGGCCAGGTGATTGGGCCCTAGTTTGCCTACCCATGGGTCACACTTCCCCTGAAGGAGCAGGCACATACCTTAAGGGTACTTCTGCATCCATTGCTGTTGCTTGAGACTCAGGTGACCTCAGTGGTGCGGAGTGCCTTCCACCAGCTTCGGCTGATGACCCAAGTTGCACCCCTATCTGCACCCTGCATTATACGTGGGGCATTTGGCTATTATCTATGGCCTTCTATAGTGGATGGGATGTTTTAATGTATTTCTTTCCCTGGTTTTCATGTGTGTGTGTTGTTGTTGTTTTTAATATAAGTCACTTTGAAGTGCCATAGCAAAAAAAAAGTGCCCAATATATTTAATTAAAAAAATTAAATGATGGCTGCTATGCAGCCAGTCAGATTTAGCTATGTGCTGTGAGACCCCATAAAGGGGATGGGGGGAAGTCCTAAGATTCAGAGAATCTCTTTATATAGATATGGTTTGTTTTTTCACTTTTCGTTTACAGTGGAACCTTGGGTTGCAAATGTGATCCATGTGGGAGGCACGTTCGCAACCCAGTGCCGCGTCTGCACACGCGCGTGACGCGATTTGGCACTTCTGCACATGCGCGAGCACCGAAACCCGGAAGTAACCTGTTCCGGCACAACCTGATATGGCGCTTCAGGTTGCAGGCTTTTTATGTTGCCAACGGGCCTCCGGAACAGATCCCATTCGCAACCAGAGGTATCACTGTATCTGTATTTTGTAAAAAAAAAAAAATGACTTCAAAAAGAAAAAAGATTTAGCTATGTGCCAGAGCAAACAGAGCCTAAGGATCATCTCAGAATAAAGTAGTTTTAGGACCACTTTCCTTCAAAAGGGGGTTGATTTCTATTCTGGCAAAGGTTTTTTGCAATGCCTCCCCATTTTGGCTCAGCTTGTCCTGAACCTTCTGAAACTCCAATTCAATCATGTAAAGAGTAAACTATAAGCTGTAGAGCAGACAATCAGCCTTTTGGGCTACCTTCCGGCACCAGACACCATGATCGGTGGTGTCCCTGTCAGCAAAAGAATCCAGATTCTAAATAATAAATAAAACTTACTGCTTCTGCTTCTGAAGGGTCATACCAGACATTGATGTATGGGTGCTGTAGAGCTTCATCTACTGAGATTCTTTTTGATGCGTCGATCACCAGCATTTTGGATAACAAATCTCTTGCCTGACTGGCTGCAGGAGTAACATTTAACATAGGATGTAATATTTAAACATTTCGGGCAGTATGGAAAAGGTTGGGGTGAGAGTCATAAGCAAAATAAGGAACAAACTTATTACTATACAGCTTATTTGGCGATACAACCAAACTAGCTGCTTCAATATCAATGTAGATTAGTTTGTGAGCAAGGCTCTACAGTCTTGCTCACTACTTTCATCATGGCGATGTGTCAGCCAGCCTCTAAAGAGCAAGAGAAATGCAAGGCATCTTCCCAACCCTGGAACCGAGGATTATGCCAACCCGCTTCTCAAAGATGGAAAGAAGGCTGGGCTTTGTTTTGGTTCTGCATTTGCTGGATGGAAGCACAGAACCAAAACTAGCCTCTGACTCCTCCATCTGAGCTGGAAAGGGAAAGAGGCATGTGGGCTTGTGTCTGCCACAGTGGAAAGCAAAGTGGAGCACTGCACAAAACTCTTACCTTTCAGTTTGTTATGTTCAGAATCAAACTGGAAACAGGACATCTGGGAAGAGCTTTTCAAAGCTATAACCAGCATATTTAGGTCTATTCTCCACGTATGTCCTCACTGTTGGCTGCAGCTTCTTCATGAATTCTGAGCACGGCGTTCCTAGCTGTTCAATAACTTTATTCCATTGATCAATATCTGAGGTGAAGCAGCTAAGGAAAATTGTTTATGTAGCGTTCAGGACAAAGGCCATGTTAAAACTACACCAACAATAAATGGGAGAGCTATGGCCAACAATAACTTGTTAGAGAACCAATGATGGCTAAATCAAATAACTGCTCTTTTCGCTATGATCTCAACAAGGGCTAGTCTCACCTGCCGCACAGGATCTCATGCATTTCAAAAATGCCACTTAGAGGCTTTCAGAACAGTATAGAAAACAGAAAGAATTTGAATCAACTGAAAGTCTGAGTTCCCCCCTCCGTGGTTAGGACTGCCACATTCAAGACTGTTCTGGAGAGTTTAGAAAACTTAGCAGGAAAACTACACGGGAAAATACCTGAATTTTACTTCTTTCTAACAATCTGGCAACAGGTATAACTGAAACTATTATATTTCACCATACTAACGATTTTTAAATCTTGAGAATAAAAAATACGAAAGCTCACATACAATGATCCAGTTGAACTAATCTGAGTTCTCCAATCAGTAGCCTAATCAACAGAATAAGACATCGCAACCTAAGATTCAATATCAAATTTCAAAATCGTCTGCCACACCATACAAACCCAGAAGCAAACCATTTAGCATATAGGGAACACCTATGTGAACGTAGCTTATTAACTTAACTGTACAGTGGTGCCTCGCAAGACGAAAAGAATCCGTTCCGCGATTCTCTTCGTCTAGCGGTTTTTTCGTCTTGCGAAGCAAGCCCATTGACAGCTTAGCGGATTAGCGCTACAGCGGTCTAGCGGCTTTCAGCGATCAGCTGTTAAGCGGGTTATCAGTGGAACATCTGATAGGCGGCTTAGCGCCTTAGGAAAAGGGGGGGAAGCGGGGGGAAACCGCGGGGACGCGCAAGATTTTTTCGTCTTGCGAAGCAACCCCATAGGGAAATTTGTTTTGCGAAGCGCCTCCAAAATGGAAAACCCTTTCGTCTAGCGGGTTTTCCGTCTTGCGGGGCACCACTGTATATGTATATGTATGTGTATGTGTATGTGTATGTGTATGTGTATGTGTATGTGTATGTGTATGTGTATATGTATATGTATATGTATATGTATGGAAGTGAGAGCTTGGACCATAAAGAAGGCTGATTGCCAAAGAAAAGCGCCGAAGATCGCTTTTTGAATTATGGTGCTGGAGGAGACTCTTGAGAGTCCCATGGACTGCAAGAAGATCAAACATCTCCATTCTGAAGGAAATCAGCTCTGAGCGCTCACTGGAAGGACAGATCATGAAGCTGAGGCTCCAATACTTTGGCCACCTCATGAGAAGAGAAGACTCCCTGGAAAAGACCCTGTTGTTGGGAAAGATGGAGGGCACAAGGAGAAGGGGACGACAGAGGACGAGATGGCTGGATAGTGTTCTTGAAGCTACAAACATGAGCCTGACCAAACTGTGGGAGGCAGTGGAAGACAGGAGTGCCTGGCGTACTCTGGCCCATGGGGTCACGAAGAGTCGGACACGACTAAACGACTAAACATTATATGTATATGTATATGTATATGATCTGCTGATCTTCTGTTCCTGAGCCAAGAAGTACTCTTAGGAATTCAGTATTTCACAGAATCATAGAATTGTAGAGTTGGAAGGGATCCTGAGAGTCATCTAGTCCAACCCCCTTCTATGCAGGAATCTCGTTTATAGCATCCATGTCAGATGGCCATCCAACTTTTACTTAGAAACCTCCAATGAAGGAGAGTCCACCACCTCCTAAGCGAGGCTGTTCCACTACCAAACAGCCCTTACTGTCAAAAAGTTCTTCTTGTTTAGTCGGAATCTCCTTTCTTGTAACTGGAATCCATTGGTTTGGGTCCTGCTCTCTGGAGCCGGAGAAAGCAAGCTTGCTTCATCTTCCATGTGATAGCCCTTTAGATAGTTGAAGATGGCTATAATATATCCTCCTCTTGCTTTGAGCATAGCCAAAGAAACCATCCATGTATTTATATACTGTATATGTAACTTTTCTTGCCCCTGGCCATCTCCCTGCAGCTGTAGGTTACTCAGGCATACTCCTCCTTCATGATTTCCCTTTTCTTCAATTTCTTAAATCTCAGCTCATCTGTAAGCTCCTTGTGCAGCCACACCGGTTTCTTTAGGTGCCTCTCACTATTCTTTCTTGTTGGAATCGTCTGCATTTGTGCCGTCAATATGTCACCTTTTAAAAAAAACCATACCTTCTCTTTGACTATTTCTGACCTTGGGATCTCACCCACTAGTTCCTTAAGCTTTTTGAAATCAGCCTTCTTAAAGTCCAGAGTGCATGTTTAACCACCCTCAGCTTTACATTGCCTCTGTATAATGAAACCCAAGAGGACGTGATCACTTCCTCCCAAGGTTCCCAGTACTTCTGCTTCATCGATCAGTTCACCTCCTCCCTGTTGATGAGGACCAGGACCAAGAGAGATGATCCCCCTGTTGTGACTTCAACCTTCTGGGAAATGAAATTGTCAGTAAGGCAATTGGGGAATTTGCTGGACATTACATTGCTGGCAGAGTTTGAGTTCCAACAGATATCAGGGTAGTTGAACTCTCCCATTACTTCTGTATCTCTCCATTTTGAATGTCTGGTAATTTGGGGAAACCTGTGATCATCACTTGAGAAAGTGTCTTCCAAAACACCCTTTGCCCTATTAATCCCACTGCAGGGAATATCAAGAAGATTGACAGTACAGGGTGTGGTGCTTTTGTCCCATTAAACCCAGTAAACCAATCAGTCTTCTCCCCATACCTCAATCTAAGCCAAGAACAGTTCTGCATCAGTCAGGGAATCACTTGTAGCAAAATACGTTATAAGAGTGAGAATGATAGCTAACAAGGAGTATAGCAGTACCACTAATGAAGCTGTCCACACACAAATGAAGATTAACAAAATGTTAAATAACTAGCTCTGTTAGGACATAAAGCTAAACAGAAACAATTAAGACAATATGCTTGGGTACTCAATAGAAAGGAGAAAATGCAAAAAATGAAGTTACAGAGGAAAAAGCAGAAGGATATTAAATAGATCTCACTAATTTTGCACATGCTGCCCACTAGAAACACTTCTGTGTTCAAGCCCAAATCACACAAAGACACAACCATACAAGGTGTTCCTCCAGCTGGTGGAACTGTTAATCAACACAAAATTTTACTGTTCTGGAGCATATAAAAACCACTTTGTTTACAAAGCAAGTAAGCCTATGCTCTTAATTGGGGCAAACAGCAAACTGTATACATGTTTGAAACAATAGAATTTTAAAGCCTCGGCAGCTGGAGACAGCATTATTTGATGTTGAAAAGGAAAACGCTAGAATACATTTGACTTTTGATCATTCAGTTCTAGGCCCAAAGTAAGGATACGGTCTGTACCAGGAAATAATACACCACCTTTGATCATTTCTCCCATGATGCACCCCACTGACCAAATGTCAACTGAAAACAAAATGCAATGACATTAACTGATTAAAAGAAAAGCAAAAAGGACTTTAAAAGGAAAAAAAAATGATAATAAAGAGCAGTGCAGGATGAAAATGAATGAGAAAAGTGAAGATGTGCTTGCTATCATACCAGCAGAGACTATTTCCTACTGCTAAATGCAGCCTCAATAGAACCAAATTTATTCTAATAATTTTTATACTTATCCGGAGGAAATAATTATGAGCCTTTTAAGGGTGGGTGGAGGGAGTTATAAACATTTTCCACGGAATATTGGGGGGAGGGGCAAAGGGAGAAGAGAGTCACAAGGTATTAGTTACCAAAAAATTCACATGCTGCAGCAGTACAAGGATACAGTCCCTTCCTGGAAAGAGGATTTTGTGGCAAACCATTTCTCCCATAATGCACCCAACAGACCATAAATCCACTATGTTTGTAGCACAAAAAGAAGAAGCAAAGCAAATTGTCACTGAAAATTAAAGAAGCAGGAGGGCATGACTGCATTTTACTATCTGCAGAGAAAGCACCAAAAAGGAAGAAGCAATCATGGGATCAAGCTGTAAACGTATTTTTAGAACACACACACACACACACACACACACACACACACACACACACAGCTCCATATGTCCAAAACGTATTCTGAGTGGGACCCAATGGAAGCAATAGTGGTCACAGGAGAATAGCGTCCTTACATAGCTCCCATTACATTTCAATGCAACTTGCTAAGCAGAAGTAAACCCTCAATACTTGAAAGCTTTTTTGAAAAAAACAAAAATTCTTGTTCATTAAGAAAAGATTAACAATAACCGAATTCCCTTAACAAACAGCTGAAATGACAGAGGAAAATACACACAGGTTCATAATTAGTAATGAGAATTAATCAATCTCAAAAAGGTAGAATATCAATGGGGTAGATAGCTCATCTATTCAGACTGTGTTCAACCGGTTCTAGATGGGTTGCACTCCCTCTAAAATATCAAGGCTGGCTCCTAGATGCACCCTTGTCACCAAAGGCCCAGATAGCCTCTGTGCCAAAAGAGTGCCTTTTGTCAGCTTAGGATGGCAAACCAGCTGGGATCTCTCCAGGATGGAGACACCCTGGTCACAATTATCCATGCTCTGATAAACATCTAGTGTTGAGTGCTCTAATGTACTATACATGTGCCTCCTCTGAAGACTGCTTGGAAACTACCATTAGCTCATAATACAGCCACCAGGCTGCACTGCCTGGAGGGTATTGAGGGAACTTCCAGGCCATTTCTGAGCACAATTCAAAGTGCTAGAGCCTGGGGTACAAGTTTCTAACTAAACACTTGTAATTGTGCTTTTCACACAGGTACCTGAACAGATATCTGCTCCCACCACAACCTGCCTATGTACTTTGTTCATCTCTGGAGTCTCTTCTCTGGGAGCACCATCATCCAAGATAAGTTGAGTGGCATCCATATGGAGAGCCTTCTCTGGGAAGAATGTGCCACAAACAAGGCTGTGCCACTGGAGCTAAGGCAGCTGCTATGCAAAAAGTGTCCCCTTTGAATTCTAAGCACAGCATCCTTTCTTATCACAAGGTACCCCTTAATTTATACCAGAGCTCCCTGAAACAGCTTCCTATGGTGGATTGGTGTGCTAACACCGGGGCAAAATGGTTTAAGCATGTAATGTCAATCTTGGTCTGACAGCACTGGCTGCCAATTAGTTTCCAGGCCCATTCCAAAGTGCTGGTTTTGACCTATAAAGCCTTAAAACAGCTCAGGACTGCAATACCTCTCCCCATATGAACCAACCCAGACCCTGCAATCACCATCTGTGGTCCTTCTTCCTATGCCTCCTCCATGGGAGGTTCAGAGGGTAGAATCACAAGAACAGACCTTTTCTATACTGGCTCCCTGTTTGTGGGAAGCTCTTTGTTGCCTATCTTTAGGTGCCAGGCATAAACATCCCTCTTCTCTCAGGCCTTTGGCCAATTAAGCAATCTACGTGAGAGAGAACGGGGTATTGTTTTGTTTCCTATTATGGTATGTATTCCTGTGTTTTTATTTTGTAAACTGCCTCGTGATGTCAGATGAAGTGTGGTATAGAGATTTAATAAACAAGCATCACATTGTTATAGACAACGTGGTCAACTTCAAGGCAAATTAGCTTTTCCTTTTCCAGTAGGGAACTTCCTGCTCCTGTTCATCAGAACCTCTTAAAGAAGTAGAGTTCTGAGGTTCTTGATAGAAACCACATTCATGCAATACATTTCAATCACTCTGACACCACTTTAAAGAGTCATGGCTTCCCCTAATTAATTCTTGGAGCCGCAGTTAGTTATAGGTGCTGAGAGTTGTTAGGAAATCCCTATTCCCCTCACTCCCTTTTGTTTTCATCTTAACTATTGTTGCTTTCGTTTTTTAACTACCGTATTGGCCTGAATATAAGCCACACTTTCCCCCAAAATTCTGACTGTGAAAAGTTAAAGTGCGGCTTATATTTGTGACCTTACGGTATGCAACCAGGAGTGCGGGGCAAACAGCGCCAGGGCCGTGGTGAAGAAGCACCCTCCCTGCACATAGTCCCCTGTCCTCTCCCCAAAGGCCGGGAAGGGAGAGAGCAAGGAAGGGGAAAGGCCGCCAGCAACGCAGCACGGCTTCCCCCACACCCAGTATGCAGCCAGGAGCAGCGAGGAATGGAGTGGCTTATATTCGGGGGGGGGTCCCCCTTCAGTTTTAAAGCTGCGGCTTATATTCGGGTGTGGCTTATATTCGTGCCAATACGGTTTGTATTTGTATTTTTATCTTGTGAACTGCCCTGATATCTTGTGATGAAGGACGGTATATAAATCTATTTAGCACTAAGTAAATAAATAAATGGGACTGGTTGTTAAGCCGCTCTGAGAATTGTGGCTCGGGGGAACTTGTTAGCGCAGATGATGAAGCAGGCTTTGGCTCTACCATCCATCCGCTGATGAGTGGGAGAGTTGAAGCCTGCTTTCCCTTGCCAGTGCACAATCAGAAGTGCACTTTACAGCTCCTGGTGGTGCATTGGCAGCTACGTCTCTACCTGTCCTACACCTGGGATCACATAGGACATCAGGTGCGAGAAAGGTGGCCTGGCTCAGTATAAGGCAGCTTTCTATGTTCTATTGTCCCAATCCTCTCCCTAACACTTGCCCGGAGAGAAGCTAAGCAAGAAGAAATGGTAGATACCTCTATAAAAAGCAGCAAACATGGTTTCCTCTCTTCCTAGTAAGGTAAAGGGACCCCTGACCATTAGGTCCAGTCGTGACCGACTCTGGGGTTGCGGCGCTCATCTCGCTTTATTGGCCGGCGTACAGCTTCCGGGTCAAGTGGCCAGCATGACTCAGGCGCTTCTGGCGAACCAGAGCAGTGCACGGAAATGCCATTTACCTTCCCGCCAGAGCGGTACCTATTTATGTACTTGCACTGATGTGCTTTTGAACTGCTAGGTGGGCAGGAGCTGGGACCGAACAACGGGAGCTCACCCTGTTGCGGGGATTCGAACCACCGACCTTCTGATCGGCAAGCCCTAGGCTCTGTGGTTTAACCCACAACACCACCTGCGTCCCTCTCTTCCTAGTAGGAGAGTGTAAAAAGGAGTGTGAATGAGCAGAACGGCTTCCCAGAGGAAGATGACAAGTGAGATCTTGGAAGCAGAGGCAGGTGCATCTTACAGCCATTGCTTGACTAATTCTCCCTTCCGTGCTGCCCACAGGGACAGCAGGAAAGGAGCAGCTGTCATCTCCACAGTTACTCCTCTCTCATAGCCACACAGCAGGAAGGATTGTGCAAGTACTAGATGCAAGGAGCAATTGCTGCTTCTGATCATTCATCTGTCTTTATCTCTCTGGGAAAGCCTACCTATTCATTCACCTTCATTATTTGGAGATGGTGGGGAAAGTTTTTGGTAAATCTAAATCTGCAACAGATAATCACCTGCCTCTCCAATCCCCAGAGAAGGTGGGAGACTGGCCACCATCTCAAGCTACAAGCAGCAGCCACCACACTGCAGCTTTTACAGGATAAAAGCTGATAACTGAGTGGTGGCTTGAATGAAGTTTTACATCCATTTCCATTATCAGTTCTAGATAACTGAACCTCCATGTCAAACATGAGATCAAGGTGGACTTAGCATAGAGTGGGAAAGTGTTATTTGTGCAGATAGAATAAAACACTGCCCCAAGAGCATATTTTATCTAAACAACTGCATCCCATCTTTCCTCAATGTATAAATAGTATTTCCTAACATGCTTTCAACACAACATAGTGGGATTAAACATTTAGCATACTTAGGTCATGGTGTTATTTTAAAAAATAAGTTTCAGCAGCTGAGAAAAATGTAAAATGTCACGTGCAGGGTGTAGGGACAGAAGATATAAAGCACATTATGTTAAGGGACAAAATGAAAGTTGCTGACCATTTTCTTTGTATCCCATCCCTAGGATGACTTCTGGTGCTCTGTAGTAACGAGTCACAACATAAGGTGTCATCATAAAGCTGGTTCCTGCTGTTCTAGCTAATCCAAAGTCAAGAATCTTCAGCGTGCAGTCAGATTTTACTACTATATTGCTAGGTTTCAAATCCTTTCAAGAAAGGGGGGAGAGAGAGAGAGAGAGAGAGAGGGGGGGGGGGAGATTATTCTAAGCCAAGCATGAAAGTCCCCAGTAGAAGATAAAAAACAAACTGGTAATTATGAAACAAGTGTGGGGAGGGGTTTTTTTTTCAGCCAGAAGTCTCATGCTGCCTGGGGACAATGGGAGTTGGAATTCAACAAAATCTAGAAGGCTACAGGTTCCCCACCCCTGCCCTAGAGGATTAAGTTTGTAATCTGGACGAATGACCAGACAGGTGGCCTCTCTGCTAGGGAGTGCCTTTCATCTGCTTATCTTGTAGTAAGATATAGGGTTGACTACTATAATGTGTTGTACATAGGTCTGCGTTTCAAGGCTGTTTTGAAACTGCAGTTGGTTTAAAACATAACCACCAGGGCAGTTTTATTTCAAGTGAACAGCAATCTCCCTTGGCTTAACAGGAAAGAAAAATACTCCCCAAACAGGAATGTTAAAACAACGGCAATAATCTCACTAACCCTATGTATAATTCCAGCTGAGTGAAGATGTTTAATGCCGCACAGCATTTGATAGAGGAGATAGGACATTCGTTCATGGTCGAGCTCCATTTGAATCACTTGGCAGAGATTTGCGTCCATGAGCTCCATCACTATGTAACTTTTGAAGAACATCAAAACGTAAAATCAGACGAGAGCAGCAACTTAGGTCATAAAATCAATTGTGCACTCGTAATGTACTCGCCAAACAAGTTTTACCAAAAAAATTATACTTACACATCTTGAAATTCTTCCAGTGATTTCTGTGGGGTAAAGACATTCAACAGGCCAATTATCTATGGGAAAGAAACACGTCACAATGAAGGCCCACAAACAGTCTGTTTGTCTCTAAGTGAGTTAAGTAATAAATGCAAAAAGAAACACGCAAGAAAACATAGCATTTGATCAAATCAGAACTTCACTGAAGCTCTCTCACATTTTCACCTATAACCTCAAAGACAAGCCCAACTAGCTGTACTGTACACAGGTAACTCTCATCTTATACTTAATTTACTTATGCAATAGTAGCTTTGCATGGGTAGGGTAGGACGGGTGGAAATAAATAAAAAAATAAAAAATGGAGAATGGGGGGGAAGTATTATTTTCCCTTGTAGCTTATCTTTGTTTATTTTGTTATATAGTTTTAATTTGCGCTTGTTTTCATCTTTTTATGTAAAACACTTTGTGAGGTTTAGCCGAAAAGAAGTACATAAATATTTTACAGATACCAAATTGCTGATGTCCAAAACCCATCAATTCAGTATAGTATCATCAAGATAGTATAGTATAAATCAACATAATAAAATATAATCCATTTCTAGCAAATGAAACCATCCTGTATCGTATTTTCTATTTTCTTGCTATGCCAAATTAGACGTGATGTCTGTCCTATTTAAGCATTAAAGAGGAGAATGGGATGCTAATTTTTACAACAAAAGGTTAATGATAGTGAAAGAAACAGGATCAGTTTGTCCATCTTTACACACAAATGTGGCAAATGCATGAGTAAGAATGATCTCACATCTAGTCTGACCCTTACCGTTGATATTTAAACGATGAACAAATGTACTTACGTTTTTGTGGTTTACGCACTTCATGAGGACAAGCTCTCTGTAGGCTCGTTTGGCATGGGTTTGGTTCTGAAATGGCCGACTTAGCTTCTTGATTGCTACATTTCTTTCAAGGATAGCATCGTAGGCTGCACTGTAAATAAAAGTGAACTGTCATAACCATATTTGTATAAAAATTGACAAAAAGACTGGGAGACTGGAGTCAAGACCTAGCCGTGAAACACAATCAGTCAAGGATCTGAAAGAGGTTTGCAGTATTATAGATATTCTGATCTGAATAAGAATCAAAACAGCTTAAATATTCCGATACTGTGAAATGTTTGTGGGGAAAATAATTGCTGAAGCGAAAGGCTTATTCACAGATTGTACAGCTCATAGTAAAGCTTCTATGAAGAACATTTATTCCAAAGTTGTAATCTATGATTCTATGGTGATATCAGGTGATCTGCCATGGGTGGTGAACCTCAGGCTCTAACCTGCTGGGCTGAAAAGGTTCTCCACCCCTGCTGCAGACGGAGGAGGTGGTGCTGCCACTGAGTATTCAATACACTGGTTCGTCCAAGGGGCACAGAACTGTCCACAACCACTGGTCAAGTAAAGAAAAGCAACTGTGGAAGGCTGCTAGTTTCAATGGATGGGTTGCTTAACCCTTTTCCTTTCTGACGTTTTGTCTTCTCAAAATCATTCTCTCCTGCTTGCTTTCCAACCCATAAGGGACAAGATACAAAGCCCCTGTATTTTTTCCCCTCATGCTTGCAGAAAAGCAAGACAGAGAGGGTGATTTAGATGAGGCAAAATGCCAGGAAGGGAAAAGGCTAATTAATCCATTCCCCAAAAAAGATAGCCCTCTGCGGTTATTTTCAATCAGGAGACTTATTCTCACATTTTATTAGGTGTGATATTTCATTGGTTTGAGGCGGAGTTTTGCTGCTGTTCTCATGGACAAGAGTGTGAATACAACTGCTATTCTCCCAATTCTGTACCGGTCACACCTACTTCCTAGTTACACTTGACCTTTACATGACCTGATGTCATTGTATCTGGTTCTATTCCCTCTTTTCGCCTTGCACTACAATAAAAGGACTGGAGCACTATATATACAAAAGCAATGGTTCTCTAGCAACCAGTACTATCTAGCATTCAAGTGGCACGTCAATCAGTTTTGCTCATGTTCGCATTTTAAACAAAATGAGATTTCATCACTGAGCTGTTTTTAAAAAAGGAAAAGCCTTACCATACTATGCCTTGCGCACCCGAACCTATAGGTTTTAAATTCTGGTATCGTTTGAGTACAGTGAAAGTAGAATCTCCAATCTCTACACTATAGAAGTTGTTTTCACGTTTGCTTCTGCTCATGACGCCGTTAGTCGAACACTTTAATCTAAAAGACATGAACCTGCAAACACAAGGAAAATGTTACATGCCTAGGCATATAAATATATAAATATAAATGTGTGTGTGTGTCTCAAAGTTTGAAAACTTTTCTGCATTTTTGGCCACAGCCATCCCAACTGTCTCGACACCTGCTCAACACAGACAGGTGCTCTTGCTTTTAAGAAAGAAAGAGGTCCAATTTAATGTCATGGGCTGGAAAGCAGACACAGGCTCAAGAGTCAAGATACAGGATACAGGAGTTCTGGAGCAGGATAAGAATTTCAGAACCGGATAATAATAATAATAATAATTTATTATTTATACCCCGCCCATCTGGCTGGGTTTCCCCAGCCACTCTGGGCGGCTTCCAACTGAATATTAAAAACAGTACAGCATCAAACATTAAAAACTTCCCTAAAGAGGGCTGCCTTCAGATGACTTTTAAAAGTAAAATAGTTGTTTATTGCAAATGGCAAATGGATGGAAATGGCAAAGATGTCCCAGCAAGTTTCCCTGTTAAAATAAGGCACACTCACTCACAAGACTCTCTCGCCTTCTGGGAAAGTTGAGATTGCAAGTGTGCACTCCTTCGGGGTGGGTGGGATTGTTCGCATTTGTGAAGGCGTCACCTGGTTCCAGGTGACAAAGCAGTGCCCTCCTGTCTAGCCTCCTGAATGAGTTCAGTTTCTGCCCCTGACTGATCAAAGCCTCTCCCACTCTCCACTGGGTCTCTCTGCTCCACAGGAAGGTTGGAGGGGAGAGCTGGCATACCTTCTCCTCGTTCCAAAGTCAGAGTGGAAGGGGGAGATACTTTGTCCAACCCAGAGGGCCTACATTCCCCATCTTTCTTCCTCCTCCTGCTTCAGAGTCTGCCAGCTCAAACCCGATTCCCAACAATGCCGTGGGGCTCATGACATCAACAACCTTACAGAAAGAATTTTCTAGTAAGACTGCACTACCTCAACATCAGCTCAGCTCAGTAAAACTTCTCCTTTAGCGATCCCAATGCTTTTCCTGCAAAAGGTCCCAGGTACAATTCCATACATCTTTCATTAGAGCGATACCAAAATGTATGAGGCAAGGAAAGGCCTCTCTGTGTCCAAGACCCTGATGGTAAAGGTAAAGGGTAAAGGGACCCCTGACCATTGGGTCCAGTCGTGACCGACTCTGGGGTTGCGGCGCTCATCTCGCTTTATTGGCCGAGGGAGCCAGGCGTACAGCTTCCGGGTCATGTGGCCAGCATGACTAAGCCGCTTCTGGCGAACCAGAGCAGCGCACGGAAACACCGTTTACCTTCCTGCCGGAGTGGTACCTATTTATCTACTTGCACTTTGACGTGCTTTCGAACTGCTAGGTTGGCAGGAGCAGGGACCGAGCAACGGGAGCTCACCCCGTCGTGGGGATTCGAACTGCCGACCTTCTAATTGGCAAGTCCTAGGCTCAGTGGTTTAGACCACAGCACCACCCATGTCCCTTCAAGACCTTTATGAGCTGCTGTTAACTGGGAATAGATAAGTGGATGAGATGCCTCTGAGGAAGGAAGCTTCACCCGCTTGTGAAAGATTTTTCTGAGGTACTGAGTCACGCAATTAAGAGATGTATAGTTCAAAGGCAGCACCCTAGGTTGTTCTTGGCAGGCAGATTAATACAGGATGACCTTTCACAGCTGAGGATTAATTTTCAGTGCAACACATTTTAGCGATGTCTTCTTAACAGCATTCCAAATGAAAAGCACTAGGCCTCTTTCTTTTCTTTTTAGAATGAAACATGAATAAATAGCACAGAATGTCAGTGTAAAGTGGGGTGGCATTTTGCTTTTTTTTTTAAGGGAGGGGGCAGAGAGACTAATACTGTCCCACTCTTATTTTGCCACCTGCATGCTTGCTTCTCTCCCTCCTGGCATTCTCTTACTTTTCCAGAATTTAAGAGATAGGAGGTCTATCGATAATATTTATAATTTAATTAATTTTTAAAAATTAAAATGGGGGCAGGAAGAGAGAGACTGGCAACAGCCCAGGAACAAACATGCGGGAACCCACAGCATTTAGCTGTATCTCCATCCTGAGTCCTGTATCACTACAGCATTTCCCATTCTGGACTCAGCAAGCCCCAAACAAGAGCAGTCACGGTACACAATCAGGAGATTATAATTGCTGGTTGTTGTCTGAGCAGTCCCAAAGGGAAAACTTTCAGTGGCAATATTTTTCTTACCCAAACCTTTACTACAGATTCGTGGAGTGTGTCCCTAAAAGTTCACACACTTGAGCCTTGTTTCTGCCACTTCCTCCAAGACTCTTTAAGCTACGGCCAGTATGTACCTTTTGTAGCTTAAAGATCGCTTGGTGGAAGTTATTGATTGGGAATGGAGAAAGGATAAGAGGAAAAGCACAAATCGTCTCCATACTAGCCTTTAAACTGCAAATGGGGCAGAGACCCTAAGAGCCAAAAGCAGGGTAGGTAGCCCTTTTCAGCACTCTGTAATTGTTTCACTAGCTCTATCACCTTCCATCGTGGGAAGCAATGTCTGGGATTCCAATGCCTGATAAGTCAAGGATTCCTAACTCCTGGCCTGAAGGATTCTTGGTTGGGGATTTGTACTTGATATCATGCACCTTCCCAACTTCTCTGTCCTGTATGTTTCCATGACAGTACACACAACTCTCTCATTCTTTCAGTGTTGGGGTTCCCCCACCTTGCCTTTAAATCCAGTTTTTTTCTACATATTTGTGGAGTCACCTGGGTATGCAGAAACCCAACCCTTGTTCGTGGGTGGTCCCGTTGTGCTGCCTTACTGGTCATGGGAGTTAATCGTCTGGAACAGCAAGCAACAGATGCCCTGCAATGGGGAAAAAAACAACAGTGAAAATACTGCAGCGTTTGCACTGGATAGTATGAATGCTTGGCCTTGATCCTCAACTTTTGCTGTTTTTTAAAGGCAAAAGTATATGTTTCTACCTTTAGTTATACAAACATGTGGGCAAGGAACCTCACAATGGCATTTGTAGGGGAGACAGGACTGACATTTTTATTTATTTGTAATATTTGTGTCCCATTTTTCCATCCAGGAAGCTATCAGTCATTAATTTAGACATTAAAACAAAGTAGCCATCGCTTTCATTGAAAGCTTCTCCAAGTATGACTACATGAGTCTCCTGGCATCCTCCACCTCTGAAAATCAGCAGATAGGAAAACCAGGGAGCAGATGACAGATACAAAGGACAAGGTCTCGTCCAGGGAACCACAGCTCTAAGTGTGCCACACTTGTTCCCCAGCTACTGTCACTTCTCTGCAATGACTGTAAGCAGAAGAGAGGGCCGGGGGTAGGAAAACAGCAGGCTTCATCTGCTTCTGGAGTTCTTCTAAAGGATGACACAGGACCATATGAGACATCTCTTTCAAGGCCTCAGCCCAAACACACAAAAAGGGAATTGCACCCAGAAGCCAGTTACAGGATACAGAAATGGGAGGAGGGTGTTTAGAAAAAAGCTGAATGCAACTAACACCTATTTTCTGATCCTACCTGGTTGGAGACTAAACAATATTAAAAATAGAAATCAGCCAAATCTAGCTTTTCCTTCCAACTAGAAAGTCTTATACAACAGCCTTTCCCCCTGTTCTGGGGTGGGCACCCTGCAGACCTAGAGCCAAAGGCAGCCCTCAGCCTAATTTCGAAAGACCTCTATAGATCATTTCAGATATCTGACAAGAGTGATCTGTCCCTTCCCCAGCAGCCTCTTCTTGCCTTTAATTCCTCTGTAAAGACAACATATTTGCAGCAACAGCCCCCAGGAGGGTAGACTTCTCTGGAAGCAAGCTGCTGACCCAGGTAAGAACTAGAAGATGTGGTCCCCAAGTCCTTCTGCAGGGGACCAAGGAGGAGCAGAAATGTCTCACAGTAAGTTCACTGGCCCTCTGCCAGGCAGAACTCCAGTTGCTGGAAGTGATGATCCATTTGCATCTTTTCTTAATTCAAAATAAAAATAAGGAACATGTGCAGCACCTACCATGAACACAAGTGCCCCTGTGAAAAGGTCAAGATGGTGACTCATGTTCTCCTTTTACCAAGAACTGCTTAAAATCTTTTTAAAAAAAACAAAACCCGTAAGCCAAGACAATCAGATCATATTAATCATCATCATCATACCCTGCCCATCTGACTGGGTTGCCCAAGACACTTGAGTTGGCTTCCAACAGGGTATACAGAAACGCCACCACAACAACCACCAGAACATCACACATTAAAAGCGTCCCAATACAGTGCTGCCTTCAGATGTCTACGGAAGATCCTATCATTATTTATCTCTTTAACATCTGACAGGAGGGCGTTCCACAGGGCGGGTGTGACTACCGAGAAGGCCCTCTGCATGGTTCCCTGTAACTTAACTTCTCACAGTGAGGGAACCGTCAGAAGACCCTCGGAGCTGGCCCTTAGTGTTTAGGCTGAACAATGTGGGCAGAAATGCTCCTTCAGGGTCAAAGACATTAAGGGCTTTAAAGGTCAACATCAACACTTTGAATTGTGCTCGGAAATATATTGGGAGCCATTGCAGGTCTTTTAGGACTGGTGCTATATGGTCCCAGTGGCCGCTTCCAGTCACCAGACTGGCAGCTGCAGTTTCCAAGTCACCTTCAAAGGTAGCCCCATGTACAGCACACCACAGTAGTCCAAGTGGGAGATGTACCACTCTGGTGAGACAGTGCGCAAGCAGGTACTGTCTTTTTCGGCGTACCAGATGGAGCTGGAAGACAGCCACTCTGGACGCAGAATTGACCTGCACCTCTATGGACAGCTGTGAGTCCAAAATGACCCCAAGGTTGAGTACCTGGTCCTTTAGGGACACGGTTACCCCATTCAGGACCTACCTGCCCCCTGCCTCCCAGAAACAGTACTTCTGTCTTATCAGGATTCAACCTCAATCCGTTAACTGCCATCCACCCTCCTCCTACTTCTCTCAGATCAAAATGAATCAGATCAAAATCAATCTCTCAGTGTGGCCAAGTACTGCGCTGCAACAAGCAATCACAGCCAGGAACTGACCTCAAGACGTTTTGTACTTTTCCTCTTTGGAGTACATGTTATGAATACAACTTTCAATAATATTCATTCCAATTTTACTTTTCTGTATGCTATTTCTATTTACTTTCTTTATTCTTTTCACTCTATTATACACATCTGGATAAGGTGTTCTATGTGCTTCTTGATTTGATTTCTTAATAATAAAGATTAATAAAGTGAATAGTCCCTCCCAGTCCTGACTCTACTTTCATCAGAAGAGCAGGGTTAATAATTGGCCTTTGAGCTTATCTCAGGAGCACTATGTGGCCTAGTCTGCCTTTCTTCTCCCTTCTGTCTGGTCTATAGGGAACTAAGGGAGGACAGGTAGGTTTGGGGTCCTGCAAAAGAAGACTGTTCCAAGCCCTCTAAGTGCTGCATGTTCTTTATATTTTTAAGTATCTTCCCTCCAGTACTGCTGAAGGAAGGGCATTTAGGTGCACCAGTGTGAAGTCTCTGCAATGCTTTTGGACCAAGAGTGCAGAAAGACAGTTAGCTGGTTTACTGAATTAGAGTGCTCCGTCAGTTAGTGTGTGGTTGGGGGTTGAACCAAGATGATGTTGGTGTTCAACATCTGCAAAACTTTGCATTAGAGCCACTCTAGCCCTCTCCTATTCCAGAGAAATGGCAGAGCCCAAGGAAAATCTGTATAGCTAGAGTTCAGACGTTTGATGAACAGCAAACTGAATGGTTTTGTGGGGCTACTAAGCCAGTTGGATGTAAGGTTAGCTTTTGCCAAAAATTGAAAATAGCAAGCCAGTCCCTGGCTTCAGCTTTCTAAAAGCCAGCCTCCAGACACTGGGTGATGTTTGTCATGCCACAGGGTACCTGAAGAACAGCCCTCAGAAATCTGGATTGAACTGCTTTGATAGGTGTAAAAATGGAGTAATGGTTAAGCTAGGCCAATCAAGTGACTGCATATTTATTTTCCATAATAATAATAATAATATTTTTTTTTATACCCCACCCTCCCCAGCCAAGGCCGGGCTCAGAGCGGCTTACAAGCAATAATAAAAACAAGTTGAATGATTACAACTTAAAAACAGAATTAAAATACAACATTAAAATAATGGAACAATAAAATATTAAAATGTAGCCTCATCGCAGGAGGAGAAGGAAAAGAAAAAAGAAAGAGAGGGAGGGAGGGAATCAAATTGGCTCCAAGCCAAAGGCCAGGCGGAACAACTCTGTCTTACAGGCCCTGCGGAAAGAAATCAGATCCTGCAGGGCCCTGGTCTCATGAGGCAGAGCGCTCCACCAGGCCGGAGCCAGAGTTGAAAAGGCCCTGTCTCTGGTTGAAGCCAATCTAACTTCCTTAGGGCCTGGGACCACTAGGGTGTTGTTATTTATGGACCGTGGGGCATACCGGGAGAGGCGGTCCCGTAGGTACGAGGGTCCTAGGCCGTGAAGGGCTTTAAAGGTCAAAAGCAGCACCTTAAATCTGACCCTGTACTCCACCGGGAACCAGTGCAGCTTGAAAAGCACTGGGTGAATATGCTCCCATGGCAGAGACCCCGTGCCCGCTGGAGTTTCTGGGACAGATTCAAGGGCAGCCCCGCTTAGGCATAGAGAAACTATGTTATTTAGGAAATACAACCTTGGGAAAGTTTTAAGGCTGATTAATGCATAAGCATAATAAAATGTAGAGCACAGCTATTCAACACACCTGGTGATGGTTTGGGGCAAGTGGCTGAATCCTAACAGTGAGGAGAGCGGGTTGCAAAGATTAAGATTAGAAAGTACTTGGGAAGACCCGTATTAATGCTTTCCATTGTGTGACACTGAAATTCAGCATGAACTTCAGAGATCAATCAATAACCACAAATCTTTTTGCATCTTCTATTTACAGCAAGTCAACTCAGCATAATCCTGTAAACTTTCTCATGGATAAGTAACCAGTTATGAAGAAGATTTGGCATGAAACAACCTGAAGCCTTGAAAAGTCAATTCAGAAGTGCTTAGTAAGAAAAGTAACAAATTCTGACAAATGCAAGCATGCCAATCTTCAAATGATGTAATGCTACAATCCTAACCACTCTTCTTTGGGAGTACAGTACAGTGGTACCTCGGGTTAAGAACTTAATTCGTTCTGGAGGTCCGTTCCTAACCTGAAGCACCACTTTAGCTAATGGGGCCTCCCACTGCCACCGTGCCGCCGCCATGCAATTTCTGTTCTCATCCTGAAGCAAAGTTCTTAACCTGAGGTACTATTTCTAGGTTAGTGGAGTCTGTAACCTGAAGCATCTGTAACCTGAAGCGTCTGTAACCCGAGGTACCACTGTAATCTCCATTAAACACAGTGGGTTATATCTGTATAAACCTGGATAGGATTGGTCTACAGGCAGGTCCTGCTATCTGAATAAAATGTGTTCTCGGGAAACCTTTTGTCAGGCAAGCAGTCACATAAATGGTCAACTATTTCTACTGATTCCTATAGGAAAATTTCTAATGTGTTCCTGACCAAGGAACTTTGATCCCAAAATGACAAAAACAACAACAACCCTGGGAAAAATCTCTGAAACCTTGCAAAAGGCAACAAGGAAGGGGCAAATGTTATCTTATTTGTCCAGTCTCTCATCCTTCCTCCCCTCTTCACCATGGTTTCTGATGAAAAGGCTGCTGTAAAAAGTAAGCCTTGTTTAAAGAGGCTTATTTGTTTAACAGTACTACACACAGATCTGGCTGTTTAGATATTTGAATCTGCGATGTGCATAGCAAGATTAAAAGTACTACTTCCTCGTATTTTGATAAGTGATTTTTTTTGGTATACTAAGCGTTTGGATAGTGGGCCTTAAGTATAATTAGCGTAATTTACATAAGCCCATACAGGATAGGTTTACTCCAAGAAGTACTCACACTCCTTATTAGCATGTTATTGGAGCCCACTAGATAGCAACCTTGTAGCATCTTAAAGAACGAAAGTTTTCTTGTGGAGCATAACCTCACTGTCAAAAACATGAAGCGTAATTCTCATTTGGAAGACACAGATAGATAAAACATAAACTGGAGCTGCGAACAGAACCAAAAAGCCATGACACACAAGAAACACAAATGGTCTGCAACACGTCTATGCCTTCTGAGCTCAGCGCACATTGTTGCATCTTGTGGCCTCAGTCTCTATACCATTTCCCACCCCTCTGAACATGCATGTGTTAGTAGTGATTAGATTGATAAATTGGTCCCTCTCAACTCTACGATTCTATGTCCGAGTGCAGATTCAAACCCTGGTCTCCCAGGTCCCAGTCCAACACTGTCTAAACCAGGGGTCTGCAACCTTTAAGACAAAAAGAGCCACTTGGACCCGTTTCCGAAGAAAAAAAACCTGGGAGCCGCAAAACCATTGCAACATTTAAAACAAATATAACACTGCATATATTGTTTCTTACCTTAATGCTATATATACAGGATCGTAACGCATGCACCGCCCCCATGCAACGTCACAGATAGTACAGCGCCCGCCACAGTGGGGAGTGTCGGGGCGCACAATGCGCCTCCTCCCCTCGCTAGTATCCGCCCCGGAGCCGCGGCAAAGGTGTAAAAGAGCCACATGCGGCTCCGGAGCCGCGGGTTGCAGACCCCTGGTCTAAACCATTATGCCACACTGGCCCCCGCTTGGCCACTCAGCACCTCTCGGTCCACTTCGCAGGGATGTTGTGAAAACAAGAAAGGGGAGAAGGAGGGAGGAACATCTGGGGTAATTTTCGGGGAGACAAGTCAGATGCATAATAAAACAAGCATGCTGTAATCTGCATTTCGTGCACACTGGGCCCAACAAAATGTGCAGCATCAGCACCATCATTATTCCAGGGGTGCCAATTATCCCCAATATCATTATCATATGCCAACTTCCATTATCATTGCTGTATTCTATATCACCCAGGGGGTGCCCAACTTGAATAAAATATTGGGGGCCTCAGGGAAGCCCCATGGTGCACACACACACACACACACCCCTATTTGAATGGGAATTCTCCTCAAACCTCCCCCTCAAATATTTTATTGGGGGGGGGACACAAACCAAAGGATCCCCTCCATCTGAGGATCCCAGGGCCGCCTTTAAACACACACAAAAAGCACGCAACCACACAAACCTCCCTTAGGGGCCCCCAAGTTTCTTTGCCCCCCCCCACTTTGAGCAATGGGGAGCAGGCCCAAAATGGAGAGGCGGCGGGGTGCGGGTGGGGGGAGGAAGAAGGAAGGCCCCCGCCGACCCCCCCCCCAAAGCCCAGCGAGGCCTTGTGAGACCGGAGGCGACGGTGGCAGCCTGTGCCCGGTGAGGAGGAGGGTGTGAGGGCGCCTCTCCGTCTCCCTCTCTCCCCTCAGAAAGGCACCCATGGGCGCGAGGGAGCGCCTCCCCCAGGCAGGTAGGCCCAGCCGCCAGCCCGCTCTCTCCCAGCCACTCACTCGCTCGCTCGCTGGCTGGCTCCGCTTCCTCGCCTCAGCCGGGCCTTGTCGCCGCCGCCGCCTCTTCCTGCCTGGCCGCCGCCGACCACAGCGAGGCGGAGCGGGGCGGGGAAGGGGGCGGGCGCACGCCGCCTCGCGCCCGCCTACTGACGGCCGGAGAGGCCGCGGCGCGCCCGCCGCCGGGCCGCGCCGGGCCGGCATCTTCCTCAGGGAAGGAAGCCCGTCGGGGGCGCTGAGGCGGCGGGAGGGCCTGGCCCGCCTTCCTCCGCCGGACGGGAAAGGCTCCCTCAGCGATCCGCGCGCGCAGGAGCGATATCCTATATACTCTCTTAAAAAAAATAAAATACTGGTTTTCACAACATTAAAAACAAACAAACACATAAAACAAACAAACATAAATCATAACCTTATTAAAAATTACACTTACTAACATTGTTAAGTGACTTCCTCGCTTCCCCATGGTTGAATTTCATTGCATGTCCTTTTAACGGTTTTCCAAATCACAGTTCTTAAAATAATTTAACTTAAACATTAACATCCTTAGATCTTCACGTTATGAAATCAAACATATTAATTCATCACTTAACTTAAAATCCTAAACCAATTAAGTATCTATATCGTATATTCTCTGCACGTGCACGAGTTTTCATGGGCTTTAGTTCTGTTTTTAGTTTCTTATTTATACTTTTCAAATTTATAAATTTCATTAGTTTGACATTTCCAAATTTTGACTTCCTTCCCCCTCTTTCTGCGGTTCCTTAAATTATTGTTTTTTAAAAAATATCTTCTGCATATTCAAGTTGCTCTTTGATTTATCTCCTGCAAATATATACTCTTGTGAAACTGCAGGTTATTATTACATTAATGCTGCCAATGTTTTTTTTCCGTTTACACTTTATCTGTAAATATTCAATAAATCATTTCCATTCTTTTATTTTATTTTTTAAAAAGTTTATCTTGATTTCTTATTCTTCCGGTTAGTTTCGCCATTTCTGCATATTCCACAAGTTTTTGTACCCATTCTTGTTTTTCTGGGACTTTTCTGCTTTTTTCCACTTTGGGGCAAATAACATTCTTGCTGCTGTAGTAGCAGACATAAATTTCTCCACAATTTAAGTAGTTCTGTCCCTATAATTCCCAAAAGAATTTAGCTCTTAAGTGTGACCACCCCCACCAAAAAAAAAGCTGAACAAGAGTGCCTCGTGCTGCAACATTTTGTTGCTGCTGCCGTGCGACGTCCCTGCTCGCAAACTCCAGGTTGCAGATTTTCTCCCTTTGAGGAGAAAATCGGATTTCTTGCTCAGTCTCTGGGCCACAAGGCCTGGTGGGTCAGGAACGAGCCCCTCACTCCTGTTCCGGATCCAGATTTGGAACCGATGTGTGACCCGCAAGTTGCATGGACACCTTGGGGTGGCACCTGGCAGGACTGCAGTAGGTGCAGAATGCTGCAGCACAATTGCTGACCAGAGTGAGGTCTGCACTGGTTGCAGGGCTTGAGTTCAAGGTTGGCGTAGCAATAATAATAAGAATAAATTTTATTATTTATACCCCGCCTGTCTGGCTGGGTTTCCCCAGCCACTCTAGGCAGCTCCCAACAGAATATTAAAAATACAATCAAACATTAAAAACTTCCCTAAACAGGGCTGCCTTCAGATGTCTTCTAAAAGTCAGATAGTTGTTTATTTCCTTAACATCTGGTGGGAGAGCGTTCCACGGGGTGGGTGCCACCACCAAGAAGGCCCTGGTTCCCTGTAACCTCATTTCTTGCAGGGAGGTAACCGTCAGAAGGCTTTCAGAGCTGGACCTGTGTCTGGGCTGAACGATGGGGGTGGAGACACTCCTTCAGGTATACTGGGCCAAGGCCGTTTAGGGCTTTAAAGGTCGGCACCAACACTTTGAATTGTGCTTGGAAACGTACTGGGAGCCAATGCAGGTCTTTCAGGACTGGTGTTAAACGGTCTTTACCCACAAGCGCCCACCCGGCTGTTTCGGATCAGCAGTGCCACATGATGCCCATTCCATGTTGGTAAGAACTTGATTGTTTAGTGTGCCCTTTGGAACTCCCCGCTTGTTGAGATCAAGCAGGCGCCTCCATGGCACTGCACAGTGCCTGCTAAAAGCATTCCTGTTCAGACAATCCTACCCAGATGCTTAGAAAGCCAAGGTAGTTTAAATCTGTTTTAGTATTTTAAGTTTAAGTAGGGTTGTGAATTTTCCTCAGTTTTAACTATTCTGTCTTTCGTAAAAGCCATGTTGAGGTTTTTTTACAATCAAGCAGTGCGTGCGTGCGCATAAAACGTTATGGTTTTCCCTCCTTCTATGGCCTTTGGATATAATATTGGGGAGAACAGAGGTTTGCTGTGGGTCTTCATTGTCTCTTCCTGTATGGCAGGTTTGTGGCACCTGTGGCCTTCCAGGTGTCCTCATCAAAATGCCATTCCATGTTGTCTTCCCATTTCCATTTCAGGCAAATATCTGCTAAGTAAACAAACAAACCCCACAAGGAGAAGACATCCAACATCATCAGGGGAGCCACAAGTTCCTTTTTCCTGCTGTGCGGCTTGTAGGATCATGCAGAGCTGATGCCGTACTGTGATGGCGTGGGATTCAGACTCGGAGGCTGAACCTGAGGAATCCCAGCCTGCACAGGAGTCCCCACCTCCAAAACCAGCTGAGCCAGGGTAGGGCATGAGCCTGAAGGGTCCTCACCTGTGCTGGATCCTCAGGTGCAGGCACCAGCTGAGTCTGCTCTGGCTCCTGAGGTGATGGAGGACCCATTGCCTGCAGGTGCTCCACTCTCAGCACCGTCAGGGGAAGCTGAGGTTGCCTCTGGGTCCGGTGACCCTCCAGCCTCTCCAGAGCTGCAGAGGCTCAGGGCAGAGAGGCGGAGGGAACTAAGTTCCCACAGGAGGAGTGCTCGCCTCCAGGCCAGGAGAGGCGAGTCACCTGTGGACCGGGGCCGCCCTATGCCTCGTGGCAGATAAAAGCCAGCCAGCCCCAGTCCCAGGTTGTGGGAGCAACATTGGTGGTAGCCTGTTCCTGCCTGCACCCTGTCCTGCTCCTCTGCCAGAGTTCCTGACCTCACCCGACTCCCTGCCTTGGAGCCCGCTTCAGCTTTGACGGACAGCCTCCTTGACCTTGGACTGTACACGGACTTCGCCGCATGGTTAGCCCTCGGGACCAGCACACGTACTCTACAACAATTTACAATTTGAGTCCTAAGTCACAGCTTGGTCCTGTGCAAAGTTAGGCACACCTAAATCCCATTGAAGTGAGTGGGCTTGCGTGCATCTCACTGCACAGCATCAGGTTCTAAGTATGCGCAGGAGAAATGCAGCTAACAGTGTCAACAGGTACAAATCTAATCTTAGCCAGTGAGACAGGAGCCAAATCTGAACAGTGAGTGAGTTTCCCTTATTTGTGCCTAACCTAACCCAATCTGTTTGTTAAGGAAATCTCTTCTCTCTCTTTGGCAATCACTTGTAGCCGAGTAAGATAAACACGGTTTTAACAATGAGTCTGTAAGTAACTGTGGAGGCCAATTTTGGATCCACAGTTCAGGATCCACATGTCCTTCCAAGGCGGGGACATAGGTTTCCGGGCGGGAGTGGATCATGGTGTGAATTTGCCAAGCGTGCCTTCCTCTTAGCACGTTTCTCCCTTGCGTCCTGAGTTCGAGCATCTTCGAATCCCATGACACCTTTGGTAAAGGCTGTTCTCCAATTGGAGCGCTCGCAGGCAAGTGTTTCCCAATTCTTGGTGTTTATACTACATTTGGGGAGATTTCCCCTGAGACAGTCTTTGAACCTCTTTTGTTGACCACCAGCATTACGCTTTCCATTTTTATGTTTGGAATAGAGTAGTTGCTTTGGCAGACGATCATCAGGCATCCACACGACACGCTCAGAAACCTCAGAGACTTGTGGGAAAGAAGCCATGGTTGCTTCCCATGCATAACAGCCTGGGTTCAGTCTTTGTCATGCGTACCATGGAAACAAGGAAGGTCACTTTCAGACTGTCGCACCTCAACTGTGCGCTCTGCATTTTGCTGGTATGTGATTGAATCCCACGGCTGTAAACTCTATTGCAGTCAAATTAAATAAATAAATGCAACCACAGCAACAATCCCCCACGGAAAGGTCATCGGATTGGTGGAATTATTTCATATGCTTGCCATAAATTTGGGGGTGTCTTTATTGAAACAACATAGAACAAAGTCGCCTGTAAGAAGCAAGTAACTGCGTCGGGGAATTGCGAGGCGAAAATAAGCAATCATTAACCCAACGGAGAAGATACTCTGACCTTATAATGGAGGCAAGTCCCATTATAAGTGAAATACAATCCCAGCAATATATTACCGAGAGAGGCCATGAAGATGGCTTAGGTTAAGAAGATTTGTATGTCGTTTCTAATTAAGGGCAGGATTTTAAGAAGCTTTCCTGACCTTGAAACCACCAAAGCTAAAATTGGAACTGTAATCCCCACTTCAAAAGGTCCAAGAAGTTGCTCCATTGTGCTATATGGGGAGACTCATTTCGGTGCTGTAAGCTTGTGTGGGAAGCCAGTGAATAGCCAGGGCTTATGCAGTATAAACGGCTAACGAAACAGGGCACTGAGAGCATAAAGGGCAAAACTGCATCCTTGGGAAGCTGTCACAGGGCAATTTGGAGTCATCAAAAAAAAAACACCTGGCCACCTCGCTGTTCGCTCCTAACTCCACCAGGTAATTTATGAACAACTTAAATAGAACCAGCTTTGGAGGAACCTGATTCTTGCATCCTTCGCTTGTGATTTTCAAGCAATAGGGGACATTGATTTTTAATTAAATCTACTCGCATTCAAGGGAAGGTAGACTTCCCCACTCAACACTGGGCAAGTCAGGGACTGAGCATGTGGGGCAAAAATGCGCAGGGATGTTGCCCCTGCCTCCTATCCACAAATACACCAGAGTAGACCTTTAGAAAGTGGTAAATACTGATGAGCATTTAGCTCAGCATAACCTTGACTCTCATAACACCAGTAATAATACTAGTAGTTATGAATAATACTATTACTAGTATCAAAGAAGGAACACGTGAAAATTAAAATTCCCAATTAAGCCGATCTTTAAAATTCTTTATTTT